AGTGGTTTCAGGCGCATTGGCCTGACTGTCCGGACGATTGCAACGTGCGCACACGCGCGTATTCAGACGGTCTCAGTCGTCCATGCCTCACCTTAATATGCCACCCCCCTGTAGCGGCAACAAACACCATTCGGACACGAAGGTACTTGAGCCTGCTACCACAAAAATATAAAGGCAACTGAAATCACCATTTCTCATCACTTGAGTATGACTTGACACTGCCAGCACACAGCCTGGTCTCGCCAGTGACCACTGCCGCTTGAGACGGCAACTCAGGATTCTGTTCGCAACATTCTGTTGACTTCTGTCTTATTCAGCTACTCGGGACTAGACTACTCGAGCCGATACACACGTTTGAATCCAGGAATAACAAGAAATGATCCCTCCTTCGGATAACGCCACCCAACCCACGTCCGGTAGTCGGGTTTATGGGCGCATGAGGCATTATGGTCTGCGTAATTTGCCAAACGTCAATGGAAACGAGTGGAACAGTTTTCTGACCAACAAGCTTACGAGTAGCAAAGTCAATCAAGAAGTGGCATGTGGCAGCGAACCAGTGCACTTCAATGTTGTAGCTTCTCAAGTTGCCGCTTTGGGAAACTTTGACGTGATCCTCTGCTTTTACACTTAAGATTCATATGCAGGGGACTTAGTTGAAGTACCGTATTACTAAGAGTCTGGGAGGAAAAAGCAGGACCACTTAAGCTAGATGATTGTTCTACGCCTGTACCGGCAGTGAATCGACGACCAGGGCACTAGTCCGTGACGGTGATGAAGCGTTGAAGGAAAGCCAGCTTTTACCTGTGTTAACTCCATCGCAGTTACGAAATATTGGCTCGTAAGACCGGAGTTAGGGTTAAGGTTAGGGTTGGGAGTAGGATTAAGGCTCGGGTCAGGGTTTGTTTTAGGGATGCAGTTGGGACACTGGGGTAGGTGCCGTCCCTGGAATTTAGCGCAACGTTTCCCCTATTACAAGGGTTTTATTCCCATGTCTTGGCGTAGAGAATGGAAGAAACTTATTTCATCCGCCTTCAGGCGCCACCTCGTGGTTTTGTGCGCATACCTCAAGCGCGTTTTTTGAACTATCGTCTTTATCCTCTGCAGACTTCTTACGTAGCTGCTATATCACAATGCCCCATCTGTAATTCACTTGGAATATTCATTTAAAGATACGATTAGGAAATATGATGACGCGGCGGAAAGTCCTAAAGAATTTCGTCAGTGGCATTTGCACGCACCCCGGCCGCATTTGACCTCGAACACGATAGAGTTTAAGAGTGTTTGGGTAGCTACCCTCAGATGCTGCCTGAAAGTGCCTGGTAAGAGAAGTGACGTTAAAAGACAATTTACTTCATGCGCCTCCAGCCCCACTCACCTTGAATCCAACATCGGCTGCCATTTCGGTCGCCCGCTTTACGTAGGCCTCCACCTGATTCGGCCGGAGATCAACAATGTACCTAGGGGGTGGAGGTATCAAAAATGTGCAGCAAGTTAAGGAACTCGGGCAAAATAGTTCTTCCGGTAAAAGCGGCATGTGCTGTGATAAGTCGGGTAAGTCCAGTCTGTGGGCAAGGTAAATGTCGCGCGACAAATTTGCTGCCGTGAAAGTACCAAATCTGATTGCTGGCTATGTCACAAAACAGCGTATGCAAACCCGCAGTTGACAATGAAACAAACAACAACAACAGTAGATCATGGACCATCTGGGAGAAAAACTCGTCTGTAAGGGATGTAAAGCATCCGCGATGCAGGAGAGTGAAAACCCTAAAAGTAGATCGCGTGCCACTCGGGCCCTAACTTTGTCAATGTACTGAGCCTCCCAGACCAAAGTACATACCCCGAGTTCTGTTCATACGCCAAAAGTCCTTACAGAAACCATCCGTTTGAGAGTTATTTGATCGTAGACTTGCCCTGTCCTCATTTTCACCTGTCGTTACATCAACTCGTTTTGCGTCCGACCCTGAGGGTACAGCCCAGCTTGGAAGCATCCATCATCAAACCCATGAATCACAGGCACGGCAATGACCTTTACCGGTGCAGATTTCTGTACGCAATGGGCTCCGAATTGCGCAGGTGACCGAATAGAAACCATGGCCTTAGTCATAAGTCAAGTCACCACACCAGACTAGACACAATTGAAACATTTCATCAGTTTTTACACCCGTTGATATGCCTTCTAATACGGACATCATGTGCAGACACTTGTGACTTGTCGATCTGTAGAGAACTGACGGTAGGTCAATAACTTCCGGGCGTATTCAATATTAATGGGGAATGAATATATTTCGAAAAACAAGACAACACCAGTATTAATACATAGACGAGAACCACTCGTAAGTTGAATCCCCTGCCGTATTCTTTTTGGATTACAAAGCAGATGGGACAACAAACAGTATATGTAATATAATGAGCAAAGGTAGCATTTTGGCCGCAGAGCGCTTATGAAAATCGGCTAAGGAATGGCGACTTAAAACTGGACGGATTGCATCGTTCCAGAAGTTCACTAGCAGCTGCCAAAGGTGTCATGCAACATGTTGTCAAAAACGATCCCGACCGCACATCTGGTTGTTCTGGTTTATTTTTTTCATCAGATCCAATGAGATAGTGCGGCAGATACTGTGCAAGTCGGCCACCAAAATAAACTAATTCGTCCCTGAGTTCATTATGCTGCGAGGCCCAAGATGAATATCGTCGTTCGTGACGCTCGGATTCTCGGTATCAAGAACAATCTAAGATTGAATACATGAGTTTTTAGAGAGAGACCCGAGTAACCTCATGCTGAAGTGGAAAACATCAGGTCAAATTAAGTAAAGCGCACCGGTATGAACATCGGCGGCTCCCCAGTCATAGTCCCGGACAGTAAAAACCGATATCCATATCAGTCATATGGTTTGGAATAAAATTTAAATATTGTGACGCGGGTTCTATATAAAGTAGTTTGCTGCAAAAATAATTGCAAACGATTACGCCATTACTGTCCGCCTTCCTAACTACAAGCTAGGTAGATGTGCTGCAGAACTTCAAGAATTCGACTTCTGCCGGGAAATACCAGACCGACAGTCAATAAATGGGAAAGTTACCAAACTGGACCGAGTTGCGTCTGTACAGCCATGACATTTCGCAAAATTATTTCCTGTGTATTATCGTCTATTTTTTCTCCAGAAATTCACGGGAGAAATGGATCATCGACTAGAACCAAGTCCAGATGAACTTCAACTTAGACAACAAAATTTCTAAGTCCTCTGCAAGTATGGAATTATTTTCGGCAAGGGCGCAGTATGCGACCCCACGCAGGGAAAAAAAACCAGGCCATCGTGCAATACGGGTTTTATGGGTGGGGCTAAATGGTGAAAAGGAGAGCACGATGGTAGGTAAACATTCAGCTAAATGTTGAGGGGTCATATTGTGCCCTTGACCTAAAGTTCTCCACAGCTACTTCCTAAGGAGCACACGTAGAGTAAGATGGGCTAACTCACGAAATGTCAACCGAAATTCAGAAGTACATTTTCGTTTCGAAAAGATTAAGTAAGTAGGATTGTAAAACGAATCATCCTGCAGTATAATTCTACAATGATTCAATTACCTCAGGATGTCGGCTTTTGAAAGAGCATCTTTTCGGCTGCATGCAGAAACTATACTTTGTAAAAAATGACTACTTACGTAGCATGGATTTTTCTCATTGACTTTCGATGCCCTTAAAAATTCAATTGCATCGCATGGAAAACATGCATAGAAATATTCTTTTGCCCACTTGGTAGAAAATAACGTTTTCTTCAAATCATATACTCAAAGGAAGGATATAATTTGGTCTTAAAAATGTTTCTAACTGTGAGATTTCTTAATACCGTTAAATGGCCGTTTATAAAACGTCATGTCTCTGCATTTACCAATGTGGCTTCTAAAGTTAACAATATAGATCAAATCCACTGCTAAATTTTATGAACCTTATATAGTCTCCTCTTAATACCGTAGAGAGACGTATGGTTTTCTGTACACGGAAAATATACAGCTTGTAGTTTGGAAACCCTGAATGCAGGTGTAACGGCAAGTCTGGTTCAAAATTACTAGGGAATTAAAAAAGGTTCTTGAAAACCGAATTATACACTTCCTTCGAGTATAATATTGGAAGAAGGCGTTATTCGCTACCACAAAAGATTGAATATTTTTCTGCATGTTTTCCGTGAAATATGATTGAACATTTAAGGGCATCGAAAATCAATGAGTAAAATGTACGCTGCCTAAGTAGTCATTTTTACAGTGTTGCTTTTGTATGCAGACAGAAATAAGTTCGTTCGAAAGCCAGCATCCTGAGGTAACTGAATCATTACAAAATTATGCTGCAAAATGGTTAGTGTTACAACCCTACTTAATTAATCTTTTCGAAAGTAAAACGCATTTCGGAATTCCGGTTGACATTTCATGAGTTAGCCCACCTACTGTACCAGCAACCCGATCCCCAAAAACCGATGGGATATCAAGATATCTGGCAATGCAAGAAAAGCCGAGCATTTTTCACAGTTCTTCCTGTTCATTTTCACAAAAGAAGTAGAGAGCATTCCATCAGGTTACGAGAGCACGGAAGCGTCAATTATAAAAACCGCGAGGACGCAACATTCCCCGATGACCTAGCCTTTTTCCGAGAGTGAAGTCACTTACTGCGCTCTTGCCTCATTTTCGTCATACCGTCGGCACTAAGTCAAGCATAAAAATCAAACATTTTGTGCTGAACGCTGGCCCATTTTCAGCTCAAAAAATCCCTTTTAAATGCAAACAGTAGTTACATTGTCAACGCAGACTATAGTGAATGGAAATGACGACTTCGCGACAAAGCCCGTGTCGTTGGGCGGATCGAACCGACAGAAACCAGAATCGATCTGCCTTCCGGAATACCGGCAACTGGTACATTTTGTAAACGTGTCAAATTTCGATTCGTTTGACTCCGTCCGAGGACACAAGACTCCTGGCTATGGAGGTTTCATCGCTTGCTACGGTTCGAATTTAGGAAATAATGTCTACTCATTACAAATGAGTAGCACAAGTCAACTCATTCAGTCTGGAAATATCGAAAACACCTTTCCAGTAAAGGCTGAACTCAAACAGTACTTACAAAACGGATTCAATTATAAGCTGACAGCGCGGAGTCGTTAGGCCCACAAGACCAGCATTGTGGAATTCTCCTTCCGGGCCATTGGATTGGGAGATAACTTCTTTTGGTGGCCTTAGATCGGGACTTGCCAAAAGGTGCAGCATACTGCAGGCGATGTAGATCAGAGAGATTTTCTGTTCTGGCTCGGCAAAGTGGGAAGCCATGCGGACTGACAACTCAGGGAAACTGTTTGTTGGCAAGAAATGAACCTCGAATAGTTCACAGAGGTTTTTCGCATCTGCAAGGAGCCAAATATAAAAGATGATGCCTCGCTTTCACGGGTTCTGATCCCCCACGTCGTCCAACATTAGGGTACATTGTTCTTATAAGTTGGTGGAAGTGACCAAGCGTTCTATCAACTGGTTGCACCTTGTATGTGCATACTTCCGTGTATACATTCAGAGGTTTTGATTATAGATATGACCTGATGAAAAGAATATGAATAAGCCTCTAAGGGCCGTTGTCTGAGTCTCCCCACGTAATTACCGGTCAACTTTAAAACTTGCCACCTACCTGGAGCTAATAAATCAGTGCGCATGCTTTCCTGACTTAATAAATACCTAATCTGCAGTGTCAGATAATGACAGGCAAGATAAGCTAAAGCAGTGTCGCATTAAATTACCGGCAACTTTATGGATCGGCCACTGAAAAAAATACAAAATGGTAAGGCGTTTAACCTGAAATTCAGTAATAAAATATTCCGGGTCTGAATCGCGGATCATAAAATTTTGGGTTGGGTAAGTTTGGCTGACGACGGAAATTGCCAGAAATTGGCGCCTTTCGGTACTGTAGTAGCGAGTATCCACTTATGTCAACTATTTCGATCTAACGGATATTCGATGAATTTCATGAAAAACTGTCTCGGACGTCAGAGGCAACCACAAGATTAGAGTACCAATGGAGAATTGATACAGTGAAAATACTATTCCTTGCCCTAAATGCAAGACATTTCTGAAACAACTGTCCGTCAATTAAACCGGTTTGGCATTTCCATCGCCCACAAATAGGCGTCCTCTTTAAGCGCAGCATTAGCCAGAGTAAAGGACTCCATACCCAGAGAACAGCAAAATAACGTCATCAGTCGTATCCCGTGCGCTAACTGCCGTTGCGTTTATATCGGTCACACGGGTCGACAACTTGGGACTCGCATTAACGAGCACAAACTCTCTATCCGCCGACATGACTCTTTATCTCTTGTGTTTGCGAACGCCATTGATTGTGATCACCGTTTCAATTGGGAGGGTGCTGAATTGGTCGTCACGGCTAACGCCGAACAGGCGCGGAAATTCCTCGAAGCTTGGTACTCCAATGCGGATAGTCTCAACCATCATATTGACCTAGCTGTCCACTACGAGGATCTCCGATCGAAGTGAATTGACTGGCACCCACCTTAAAAACAACTACTGTCCATGTATGTACGGACACTTTGGACCTCTCTGACATGTCATTCCTTCTTCCCCTCCCCCACACGGTGAGTCACAACTGAAACCCATAACGCCTCTCCTCACATCCTGCGGCCATCACAACACGATGCAACCTCCCTGCCGAGGTCGTCTCCTTATCTCTCTGTGTGCGTCCTCAAACACCAGTGTGACGATCCCACCCCTCCTTATTCATTTCGCCGGAGACGGGTTGGTGCAACTAACTTGAAAATGTATGAGTAAAACTCCTTTTTTTCCGACGAGTTTTCTCCTTTCATTATACCACCTCGGAATGCATACTACTTTGGTTATTCAACATATATATATATATATATATATATATACATACATAACAGCGAGAAGGGGCGTATTCTCTGTCGTCCCCTCCCGCTGCTAGTATAATTTGGCCGACTTCAGCCTGATAGTTGGGTGCCTGTTCGTGATCTTTGCCACCCATACGGAGCCTGCTTGTTTCGGGAATGCAATACATCGGTGTGCGCCCATTCCTGATTGAATACATATATGTATATATATACTGGCAGTAATGCTCTCATCGGTCGCAATAAAAAACGAAAATGTCATATAGGCCTTACATGCCAACTTCCGCTTGGCCACTGCTTGCGGCTGCGGTGGTGATCGACGGCTTCCCAAAGTGCGAGGAAGGTCAACCCATATAAGAATAACATGCAGCCTCTTTCGGTATTTTTCACGCTGCCTTCGTATATTAATGAAAACGCTAAGTGAAAAGAGCCGCCGTCCAAGGTATCGCTTTCTTCCTTTTTCATTCTTCAAGCCAGTATATCCGCACAGTGCATACCCCAGTTCACAAACAGCACTTTTTATTTGATTGGAAAGCATTAAATGACATTGGAGCAAAGTAGTCTAAAAATGACTTGTTAAGTCTAGCTCTGAGTTTTGTGCAATCTTGTGAGTTTATGTGTACAATAATGTGCATAATATTTACACTTGCGGTGTTTCATATCTCTTAAACGCGACCACCTCCGTTATTTTAGGACATCCCTCATCAGCTGTCGCCAGTCACACTCCTTCGTTCTTGGTTCCCCGTCTTACTACCAGTCCTTTTTACTACAAGAGTTAGGCCGTCGATTCCGACGAAGGATGAAGCAGACCCAGTGACTCGCACGTTACTTAGTTTGTGGTGCACGTAGGCTTGCGCAGCATCTACCGCACTCTCTCCCCACTCCCCTTCTGGACCCGGTGTCAAGACAGAGTTAAGAAGACCCGAGGCCGAGGAAGGCGCACATGGCTGGCACGGCTGGACCCGCACCTAGGTGTGCTACCACACCCCCTGGTCCACAACAAACACTTGACCAGGATTTTTCGCCAACAACACCCCAACAGGGGTCAGAAGGACGAGGCTGCATACTAGGCTGCGAGGGCCACGATTTGCTGATGCTGGCATAGCACATGCTTTCAGACCTTTTGACCTGCTCTCCTACTAACCAGAGGTCCAAATGACATACACGCACTAGATAAAAAGATGGTCTGAACAGTCATAAACTGCTTTGTGCCCTCCAAATTATAATCATAATCGTTACCTCTCTGCACTTTTAACTGTCATGCACTTGAGTAGGTAGTTCTAATTTCAATGCTGACTCGCATTAAGCTGTTATGCGTCAGACCCACCAGTTAAACTACGCATCCATCTTAATTTTCTTGAACTCTCAAGTTTTCGACCCACCTTCTAAATTTCCCTCACTGTTGACCTCCGTTGAATTCTTCTGAGGAACTGGTAGTCCATTTGTTTTAGAGGTTTCATCTTCTTCGGCTCGGCCGTCTTTGCTGAACTCGCCCGAACCAGATGCGTCCTCCATATTTGGATCTCCCGCCGGTTCCACGTTCTCCTCGGTTGCGCCGTCTGCTTTTTCGTTTTGCTGCGTCAGACTGGCCTCTGAGGTCGCCTCTGTCGAGCTGGTACACCCAGCTGACTGCTTGTTTTGGAGCTCGTTTTGGCCATCTGACTTTTCTCCGCCGACATCGCTTTGTGTCATGGGGTCCTCCTTCTCTTTGTTATTTTTGCTGTCTTCAGCCTTCTTCTCTTTTTCTGATTGTCCTCCGTCCAGATTTTGTCCCTCCTCCTCCTCAGACTTCATCTCATCCTTCTCCTCCTCCACCTCCTCCTCCTCGATCGTTTCGCAGCTCTCACCCTTGGCATCTCGTGAGTTTGCATCCGGTGTGCCAGAGTAGGGGGAAGAGGCAATGGATCGAGGGCAGGGCTTGCCATGCACGACCTGCCACAACAGGCGTCGCACATTCACTTCTGAGATCAGAGCCCCGCCCCAGAGTTTCACCCCGTGCGTAAAGCGTCCCAACTCGGGGCACTGACTAGTGTCTGTGCCGAAGGCCAGATACGGAGAGCAGATAATATCACCCCAATAGCCAATCAGGGCGTTGCGATCACCAGAGGCGCTGGAGAAGGTCCGTCCCGAGGCCAGAGTACGATTGCAGGCAAGGTAGGAGGCCTGCCGAGGTGTGAATGCCACGCCAGACCTTCGCCATTTGCCGTACTCACGGCTCTCCATTGTCTTGACCTGCAGCACAGTTTTGGGAGGAGAGCGATAGCAAGTACATTGATGAAATAAATAACCAATTAGGATGGGAAACTGACAATTGAAAAACATACACTTTATCATTATTATTGTTATTAGACTCCGTGTAAGTTCCTTCTTACGGCGAAAACTACATAACATGCCAATACTAGTATCAGAATTCGCGTTTGCGCTTAACAAAAATGCTGAGTCCCCTTTCTGGTGAATATAATAAAACGCCCGGCTGAACCTGAAGTCGAGAAATAAGGTGGAAACGAATCACACGATGCTACACCAAAGAGAAAATGGTGGTCAACACAGCATCAACACCTACTCATACTACGGCACGGTTACCTGCATCAAGACGAGGCTACTCTGGCCAAACTGTGCGAAATCATAGCCGATTTCGCGAAGGGAGTCACTGACTGAATAACTATGGTCCGCCTGGTTTGCATGCACGCTGTGTCCAAGCACATTTCATCATCGTATGGGCCTTTTCGGCCATCTGTGCGTTTGTGAGGACCTGCAAAAAAGCACCGCCGAATAAACCGCGCCATTACAAGTCGCTCCCCCTCCCACCACATACACCACACACGAGACCGCCTCACGACTGTCCAACCGCCGCAACTGAGGATGTCCACCGTGTGGTCCACAGAATGGCAAGGCAGGCAGAGTGACTTGCGCGTGAATTAGTTCATAGTAGGAATGAACTTGCGCAGCATCTACTGCACTCCCTCCTCCCCCTCCCTCCCACCCGGACCCGGTGTCAAGACGTAGTCAAGAAGGACGGAGGGGGGAGAGGGCGCAGGTGGCTGTCACGACCGGGCACACACCTGTTCGTACCACCACACTCCCTGGTCCACAACAAACACTTGACATGGATTTTGACCTACAATAACAGAGAGACGAAGATGAATGGGCAACCATGTTCACGACCTGTACGCCCGGCGGAAGCCCAAACGTATCTACCGGCAGGGCACCAGGTACCAGAGAACTGCCAGCGCACACCAGGCTGCGAGGGCCATGGTTTGCTACTCGTGGCATACCAGACGTTCACAAACCTTGGGACTCAGAGGGATACCCCACAGCTTTGTATTTGCCTGGCCAATCACCTTTCAAAGGCCAGGTAACCAGTCAGTCAGCAACTGAAAGGCACTAACCCATTGCGGCTGATAGTGCCATATTTTCTGCATTTTGGTTATGTTTGATCTTTGAGGCGGGGGGATTACTGAAAGGGTTCACTGCATGACAGATGAAGCCGCTCTTCAGTGGACCTCAGGTTCATGGTTCAGCTAGTAAGTCGCATCTTTTTAAAACCCCTGGCAAAAGACCCTAGACCTTACCCCACCACCATACCACACCCCTCCACCCCATACACCGCACACGGGACGGCCTCACGACAGTTCGACCGTCGTTGTCGACGATGTCTACCGTGTGCTCCACAGCAGGGTAAGAGCAGGGACGATGAATTGTGTGTGAATTAGTTTGTGGAGATAGTTGACTTGCACAGCATCTATCGCACTCTCTCCTCCTCCGCCTGAATCCGGTGTCAAGACAGAATCAAGAAGACCCGAAGCGGTAGGTGGCGCAGGTGAATGGCGCGGTCGAGCCTGCAGCTTGGCATTCCACTCCACACCCCCTGGTGCACACAGCAAATGGCCAGGTTTTTGACCAACAACAACAGGGGAGGACAGCACGGGTCCTAGTGTGCGTGATGTCCGCTGGCAATCGCGTCTGCCACCGCCCCCCCCCAATGTTGGCATTTGTTATGGCGTGAAACCCGATAACGCCTGCCAGAATTTGGTATGGCCCCCGTGTTGGTCCATTGCGTCTACCAGGTGGCCCGTTTGGGGGGGACGACCTAACAACACGCAACACACGGACAGGGCACGCACCACTCACATCGGCGGGAGGCGCATTCATTGGAGCCGCCAGTTGTCTGACCATGTCATGTGGGGCACATATAGACGGACTGTGCAGCTTTGTCGGTCACTGCTCCCGATCCCAGCGCCAGATGACTAACCGGCTTAGGCAGGGGACTAGCGCATGGGAGAAAGGAGAGAGGGGGGAGCTGGCAGCGGGGAAATCATCCCCGCAACATATCAGCGCATTCCTCACTATAGCAAATACGACGCGTCTTGAAACCATCACGACGAGTTAAATGCCATGGCCTGGGAGGCTACCAGCTGATTGGCTAACTCAGTCCTCCCGGTCGGTGCTGTGTGTATATGGGGCGATTGGCTTAAGGACTGGGAGTCAGGCTCATTAGCTCCTTCTTAATATGACCTCTTTAGCACTCTGACGTATGGGAGATCCGAACTACCCTCCCCCCATTCTGTGACAACATGGTATATTGTGAGGAAGGCAGGTCGAGCGTGGCACGCGCAGACGGTTACTGTGCCCGAGCCCACGTTCGGAGGTCTTGCTATCGGAGCCTGGTGGTGGGGGAGGGGGGAAGAGAGTGCGGTAAATGCTGTGTGAGTCTGCCCCATCATAAACTGACTCGCTTGCAATTCATCTGTGTCACACATCCTCCATGGGGCGCCCGATTGAAGTCGTCGCTTACGAACTCTCACAAACTCTCGCTAACATCTCTGAACGCGTTTTCATGTTGGAAGCAGCATTGACTGCGAAATCCAGAAGTGAAAGTTCGTTAAATTTACAGAATACCTATTCTATTTGTTAGTGGCGATCTCTGAAACTATACCCTTATAATCCTCCGCTTTTTTCATCTGCCACTTAATCACTTTACCGTGGTTTTACCGTGACCAACAGCTCAGAACCTGAGTTTCCCGGCCTTCTATACTTTCAGGGGGGGGGGTCGTGTGTGGATCGCGTACACGAGCGGATTTTAGCTCTGCCAGCCACTTCATCCAATCCCTCATCAGACAGCTGACCGGCTCGGACAGCGGACTGGTGTCTGGTCACGACACCGGGCCCAGGAGGATGAGCGAGGAGAGAGTGCGATAATTGCTGTCAATCAACCATCAGTATGACTTACAGTAGGTGGGCTAACTCATAAAATGTCAACTGAACTTTGGAAATGCGTTTTCGTCTCGAAAAGATTAAGTAGGTAGAGTTGGAGAACTAATCATCAAGCAGCAGAATTCTATAAAAATTCTGTTAACTCAGGATGCCGGCCATCGAACGAACTTCTTTCCGACTGCATGCAAAAACGACACTCTGTAAAAAATGACTACTTACATAGCATGCATTTTTCTCACCGTGTCTCGATGTCCCTAAAATTTCAATTATATTTCATGAAAAACATGCGTCACAATATTGATCTTTTTACTTATTCGATAACGAATTACGTCTTCTTCCAATTTTATACTTGAAGGAAGGGTATAATTCGGTTTTATAAAACTTCTCCAATTCCCGAATAATTTTAAACCCGACCTGCCGTTACACTCGCATTCAGCGTTTTCAAACTACAAACCGTATATTTTCTGCGTACGGAAAGCTATACGTTTCCCTACGGTATTAATTGGACACCATATGTGTTCATAAAATCCAGCAGTGGATTTGAGCCATATTGTTAGCTTTATGAGCCATATCGGTAAATGCAGAGACATGAAGTTTTATGAACGGCCGTTTCACGAGGTTAAAACAACGCACAATTAGAAATTTTTTTTAAAACCGAATTATGTCCCTCCTTCGAGTAAAAATTGGAAGAAGATGTAATTTTCTATCGAATGAGCAGGAAAATGAATATTTTTATGCATGTGTCCTATGAAATATAATTGAATTTTTAGGGCATCAAAAATCAATCAGAAAGATGCGTGCTACTTAAGTAGTCATTTTTTCCAGAGTGTTGCTTTTGCATGCTGTCGGAAAGAAGTTCATTCGAAGGCCGGCATCCTGAGATAACTGAAATATTATAGAATTCTGCTGCTTAATTGTTAGTTCTCCAACTCCACCTAATTAACTTTTCGAAACAAAAACGTATTTCAGAATTTCGGTCGACATTTCACGAGCTAGCCCACCTACTGCAATTTATGCGCAATTCACCTTCCCTGCGTCCACCTTGCTGTGGGACACACGGTGGACATCGTCGGCAACGATGGTCGAACTGTCAGTGGATAGTGATCTGGAGAACTGCGTCATGTTGCACCCGGTAGTGACTAACGGGACTACTCCTGCTTACAAATATGGGGCCGAGGAAGTTACAGTTTCATTGCTCATGACACTGCTGTCGTCTGACAAGGGAGTCTCGATTTTTCTAGTAGGAAACTTTGAGCAAGCCGAGGAGCAAAGTTGTGATAGACGGAGAAATAGTTTTGCCGGTAAACCGAAATGGCGACGTAGGTCTAGGTTATGCTACTGTCACAATGAATGCTTCATCCATTTTACGGGACATCCCGAAATGCATGCACGCTTTGAATAAGTACAAAATTCATTTTATGATTAAAATAGAATTGGATGGACAAATATCATTTAATTGTTTTGTCAACACCTACTTTCAGACTGTTGATTTTTCTGATCCGGAAACTTCCGATAGCCCGAAATAAGGGAATCGCGAACATCAAGAAACCTTTCGTCTGGTTCCTCCCCACTCAGCGAGTGTTTTCACTTTCTGGCGTAAACTTTTTATCTTATCTTAGGATTTCCAGGCCGTGAGTGTTGGACTCTGCGAACGATGTAGACAATCTATAAAAAGCCCTTCGTGCTATCCGGCCGTTTGACTAGATTCGGCCAAGTTAGGCCCCTACATCGCAGCGATAGTTTCGGGTTCCCCATCTTGTTGAAAGTAAAACTCATTTTCAAAGGCCTCATTGATGCTTGGCATGGCAGGCGGTCGTTGCCACGGCAGCATCGGAAAGAATGTTCCGATTACTTCTCTTTACGATAAGCCGCACATGATAATGCGACATGGTGTTGCACCATAAAGTTCAAATTATCGAACCCTCAGTATGTACATTTGTATCGGTTAATTGCATAAGTTAATCTAAACGTAGTCTCTGCACTCCGCGCAGTCCTTGTTGAAATGTGTG